ATCATTTTGTGTAGCACTGTCTTCTGCCCTTTGTTGTAGATCTTTGCTGTAGTTATAACCTTCGCAAGTACTGAAGTTCAGGTGCAGCTCTACAAGGTTTAAACTTATCCAGCTGCGTCTGGTTTAGATCTGGCTGCTGTGCTCAGCTCCTTCCCGCTGCTCCCCTTGAGGTGAACCTGTTGTGCCCCTTTTGCGGGATGCTCTGCTCCTGGACTAGTTGGGTGGATCTACCCTCTACACTCTCTGAAGGGATTGCAGCTGCAGGGTTATGCCTCAGGCCTGTATGGCAGGCCTGAGCTGTGCCTGGAGGGGGCAAGTTGAAGTAGGGGGAAAAGGAAGCTCTCCCACACACTCACTGGACCTGGGCTAAGACTGGGTCCGGGGGTTCCCGGAACACCGCAAAATTCCTCTTCGGGGTGCAGTGTGCGGTGCTGCTGCGGAGTGGTGGGGGGCGGCCCAAGGGCTTGGGATAGGTTCCGGCCCACGCTGTGCCTGGGCTGGGACTGGTCCTGCCAGCACAGTGTAGCCATAAGCTCTCCACACACTTCCCGGACCTGGGCTGGGACTGTGTCTGGATGTTCCTGGAACTCGGCAGAAATTCCTACTCGGCGGGAGGCGTGGGGGACGTACTGCGGAGTGATTGGGGGCGGCCCGAGGGGGTGGTAGAGGGTCGGGCCCACTCTCCGCCTGGGCTGGGACTGGTCCCACAGGCACAGGGTAGCAGGAAGCTCTCCACACACTCACTGGACCTGGGCTGGGACTGAGTCTCTAGAATTGAATCTTGATGCTCAATAATCCAGTGTGAAAAGTTAAGGCAGAATGTTGAATTCTACTAGTAGCAGCTTCTGCCTTATCAGAATTTTTTTTTTTTACTTCCTGAATGAGAGTATAGAAGAGCATTGAGAGCAAAGCACATGGTAAGCAGGGTTTCCCAAACAGATGGAGTGGGGCTTCTCACTGTGCATTTTCCCTTTCTTTCCATTCTTATGAATGATATCCTTGGGAGAAAGAATCGAAAGTTAACTAGTTAATATCTAGTGATTCTTAGGCCAATGCCAGAATGACAATTACGTGAGGTTTGATAAGATACTTCAAATGGTAAAACATCCAGTTATGCATACACGAAAGATATGGCATTGCATGAACGACCTAATTTTAAATCTCATCTTACTCATTAACACTAGGTGGATGTACAAGTTGACATCTTTGTCACTCAGCCATAGCATGTGTGAAATGAGATAGTGACAACTTCTATCTTAGCTATGCATGCATGAATGAAGTAATGTTTGTTAAGTGTTCAATAATCAAAAAATAACTAATATGAAGACTATGCAATGTATAAGTTATTGTAACTGTACTACTATCCCGTTTGGAACTGTCACGTTACTGTTTGTTTCTGAATAAAATTAATAACAAAATAAGTAAATAAAAATTAAAAAAGAAAAGCCAGGTTTAAAATCAAGAGTTAATCTAAGAACATTTTGCAGGTTCAGGCAAAAATTAAATATTTTCAAATTTTCCTATGTGGAAAACTTGTACTATTTGACAATTTGGAACTCTAGGACAATTCAGTAGGTAGAAAATGAATAGCTACCCATGAACACTGGCATGAATTTGAGAAGTTGAATCTGTGGTGCAGATGTTTGCAAGTTACTCCAAGGCAACCCTTGGGTGCATTTATCTAAATGCTGATAAATTACAACTGAGCCTCCAAGGAGTATGAGCTGGGAAAAAAGAAAAGTCCTTCAATGTTTACGTCACATGAATTCCAGGCCCTGAGCACTTCTTCCTGAGTACGTAGAAAATTTTTCTCTGCTATTGAGGCAAACTCAGACTCCACAGATTTCAACACACAGTTTCAGGGAAAACCTACTGTGCTTGCCAGTGGAATCCACAATTTCTACAGAAGACAGAAACTTCAGAATTTTCTTCCAAGGACCATTGTTATCCATGGAAATAGACTAGTGTTTGAAAATAGAATAAAAGAAATTTCACAAGTGCAACTCACCTTGGAATAGGACAGAAGATTCCCCAAAAAAGGCAGAGGTTTTGGACCAGGAATTCCCAAATTCTTAAAACGTCCATGTGTGTGTGTCCCATATCTGAAAAATGAAACAGAAACCCACATCTTGAGTTAGGAACTTTATATACATGTGGGTATACCTGTCACTGAATTAGTAACTTTAACTGTTAAGCCATAAGTGTACCATGTATGTGATCACAAACATCAAACCTGCAAGAATATATTGTACAGGTACCCTGCAAATTATGTGGCCCCACTGTGGGATTACTGTATCAAGTTAGCATATCACAGATGGTGCCATATAATTGGGGATACCTTTTGACTCTTACCTTGGGTAAGTGCTATTTCACTATCCCTCCCACAAGTTATTATTAAATTTTCTTACAATACCTTATGGCTTTCCCACAAAACTACAGACCAATTCCAGAGGCCCCAGTGGTCTTTACAGCTGCAAGCCCAAAGCAGCACGATGGTGGGGAAATATTATGTTATTACTTGTTCCCAGATCGTGCTTTGCCTCAAAGTGAGAAAACAGGAGAAAAAGGCTTCTGTGATTGCAGGTTAGTGGGAGAAGGCACAAGGAATATAAGAAATGCAGGACTGACCAGAGACAAAGAAAGGGGGAAGAAGTGGTATCTGGGAAGATAAGCTGATTTTTTAAAGGCTTCAGCCATATTAGATGACAATCATAATAATTCACCAATTCATACATGGTGCAGAAACTATCACTAAAATACAATAACAGAAATAATTGAAAACATTACTTATTTTTTTTCAATTCCTAATAAGTCTGATTGCTTTTTTGTATTCCTACATTAAAAATGGTATAAAAAAAAGGTTTAATAATTTACAAAGAAATATAGAGGTTTGCAGTTTAATTTAAGTCATCTGCGCCCAAGGGACCTCTTGATTCAAACACAGGCACAGGGTGAGTGAGACCCTTTTCTGCACCCTTGGAATCCTGCTACCCCACAGCACACACCACCCCACCCCCAGCACACCAGCCCAATGAGTGGGAACATCTGCCGTGTTCTTGGGACACCCAGATCCAACCCTAGCCTAGCTCTGGTGAGTATGTGGGAAAGTTTCCTGATACCCTGCCCACGTGGGACCTTTTGGTCCAAACACAGGCCAGGCATGAGTGAGACCCTTTTCTGAGCCCTTGAAACAAACCCACTACAGTGCAACCCCACCCCCATGCCCACCCAGTGAATGAGAACTTCTGCCTCCTTCGCAGGATCCCCAGATCCAACCCTAGCACAGGCCCGGTGAGTGTGCTAAAGAGCTTCCCCTCTCCCCTAGTCTCCCTTGTCCCCTTAGACTCAGCTCAGGCCTGGCATACACGTCTGGAGTGAAACTCTGCAGCTGCAGTCCCTGCAGAGAGAGTAGGGGACAGACACACTCGGTTAGTCCAGGAGAAGATCATCTTGCCAGAGGGGCACAACAGGGTCACTCCCAAGGGCTGCAGCAGGAAGGAGCTGAGCACAACAGACAGACGCAAGCCAGGCACAACTGGATAAATTCAAACCTTGTAGATCTGCACCTGAATTTCAGTAGGTGCTAAGGTTAGAACTGCAGCAAAGATCTACAACAAAGGTCAGAAGACAGGGCTATACAAAATAACAATCAAAAGGAGTAAAATGGAATCTCAGAACCCAAGCCCACCCATAACAAGTGCAGAGGACATGAGCACAGAAAAAATTGGGAATCACACAGTTGAAATCGATGAGTCAAGATCTTCTGAAATAAAGAATCAAATGCAGAAAAGAATAGAGGAACTCACATCAGAAGTAAAAAAAGAAATCTCTCAATCAATACCATCTGCAGTAAGGAATCAAATGCTGAAACACATGGGGGAAACCCAATGCCCACCCAGAACAAGTGAAGAGGACACCAACTCAGCTGAAATGTATGAATTAATAGCGTTGAAAGTAAATAAGCAACAGCAGAGATATAGAAGAACTCAGAGCAGAATTAATTTCTGAAATTAAAAAAACAAATCCTGAATTCATAGCATCTGCAATAAACAATCAAATACAAAAACACATGGAGGAAATCAAAGCTGAAAAAAACACTACACTAAAAAAATTACTAAATGGTTCTCAGTAGAAATTGATTTAAAAAAAATAGAGGAGCTTAGAAAATGAGGAATTCCTTGAATGAGCAATAAAGGAAAGAAATAGATAGCATGAAGCAGAGTCAAAGAGATACAGAGGAACTTAAAATCTCAATCGCAACCTTGCAAAACTGGTTAAGTGAAAGTGAACACAGAGTTTCGGATCTTGAAGACGCTGGTGCAGCTTGTGAAAACGTAAGAAAAGATTTCTTTAAAAAAAAAGCAGGATGCAGGAAAAAAATAATTCATCACTTGCAAGACGATGCAAAGATGAACAATGTGAAACTCACAGGTATCAATGAGAAAGAAGGAGTGAATACAAATGATATTTAAAAAATATATGGGCAGAAAACTTCCCAAATGTGAGCAAACAATCTGACATCCAGGTAACCAAAGCATACAGAACTCCAAGTAACCTCAAACCAATTAAAAACAAACCAAGACATATAATAGTCAAGATCCAAGAAATCCCACAAAAGATTAATATACTGAAAGCCGCTAGAGAAAATAAGCAGATCACATTCAAAGGAAAACAAATCAATTAGAAAAAATTTGGAAGGAATAAAATCTTTTATCTATAATTAAAAAAAAAGAAAACAAATCAGAATTACAGCCACTTCTCTTCACAAAACATGAAGGCAAGAAGAGCATGAAGCAGAGGACTTCAAGTCCTCTATGAAAACAAATTCCAACCAACATCACTATACCCTGAAAAATTCTCTTTGAAGTTTGATGGAGAAGTGAATTACTTCCACAACAAAGATCAACTAAAGAATTTCATTATGATAAAGCTAACCCTACACAGGCTACTGAAAGATGTTCTAGGGAGACAGGAAAATAATCAGAACTCCACAGATGAGAACAGAAGCAAATAACAAAATAGGACAAACAATTAAACACAGGAGAAAAGGAGTAAACAATAGCAGGTAAATAACACTTCAATCATAACTCAGGACAGCTCAATTATAACCTTCAATGTAAATGGACTCAATTCACCAATTAAGAGAAGTAGACTGGTACAGTAGATTAGGAAACAAAATCCCACAATATGCTGTATAAAAGAAACACATTTAACTCATAAAGACATTCATAGTCTGTAAGTCACAGGATGGAAAACAATACTACACGACCCGGCACCTCAGAAAAAAGCAGGGGTAACAATCCTATTCTAAGAAAGTCACAACTTTAAACCAAGAATGGTCAAGCAAAATAAAGAAGGCCACAATATACTGGTTAGGGGAAAGATAATAAAAGAAGAGGTAACACTCATAAATATGTAGGCACCAAACATGCGAGCACCCACTATATAAAACAAATCTTAGTGGACATGAAAAATCTAATATCCAATAACACAATCTAAACAGGAGACCTTAACACCCCATTATCCCCAAAAGATAGGTCAACCAGACAAAAACTTAGGGAAGAAAAAACAGAACTGAACCAGAGCTTGAAACAAATGTACTTCGTGGACATATACAGAGTGTTCCACCCAAACACAGCTGAATACACATTTTTCTCAGTTGTACATGGGTCATTTTATAAAATCAACCACATACTGGTCCATAGGACATGCTTAAGTATATGCAAGAAAACAGAAATTATCACATGCATATTATCTGACCATAGTGCAATGAAACTGGAAATGAATGACAACAGAAACCAGAAAAAAACCCTAAATATATGGAAATTAAACAACACCTTCCTCATCTATCAATGGTCACAGATGAAATTAAACAACAAATTCGACATTATCTACAATTCAATGAAAATTCAAGAACAACTTATCAGAATTTATGGGAAACATTGAAAACACTTCTCAGAGGGAAATTTGTAGCTGTAAACTCACATATTAGGAAAACAGAAAGTGAACTAATAAACACCCTGATGCTGCATCTCCAACTAGAAAAGGAAGAGCAAACCAAACCCAGAGCCCCAAAACGAGAATAAATCATAAAGATTAGAACAGAAATTAATTCAATTGAGAAGAAGAAAACTGTTCAAATAATTAATGAAACAAAAAGCTGGTTTTTTTAAAGATTAAATAAAATCAATAAGCCCCTAGCCTATGTCATCAAAAAGAGGAAAGAAAAAGCCCAAATACTAGCAATAAGGAATGAAAGTGGTGTAATCTCCACCGATCCAGCGGCAATTCAGATTATCAAGAGCAGCTCTGAGAATCGTTACTCTCACCTAATAGAAGACAGAGATGAAACAGACAGATTACTAGAAAGATAAAAATTACCAAAACTGAATCAACAAGATATATCCATGCTCAATAACCCAATAACAGCCAATGAAATATGAGATGTAATTGTAAAAAAAAACCTACCTACAAAGAAAAGTATAGGTCCAGAGGGATTCACAGGTAAATTTTACAAGAAATTTACAAAAGCTGTAGTCCCTATGCTACTCAAGCTCTTCAATGAATCTCAAAAGAAAGCATTCCTCCCAAAATCCTTCTTGGAGGCAAGTATTATACAGATAGCAAAATCAGGGAAATACACAGCTAAAAAAGAGACCTACAGGCCGATCTCCCTCATAAACATAGATGCCAAAATCCTCAATCAAATACTAGCAAGTAGAATACAGCAAATCATCAAGAAGATCATACACCATGACCAAGTAGGATTCATCCCAGGGATGCAAGGATGGTTCAATATTCAAAAATCTATAAATGCAATACACTATATCAATAGAGTGAAAACTGAAAGCCACATGATCATCTAAATTGATGTAGAAAAGACTTTTGACAAAGTCCAACA